CAGTATGACCTCCGAAACGTTGGTAAACATCTACCATACTACACAGCGCAACAACCCAGAAGACAAAAATCTTCACGATGATTTGTGTTGAATGAACGATGATTTTTCTGGTAATACACTACAGTTTTTAAGGAAGTGTACATATTAATTGTCCCACGACTATACAACATCTATCCTCCACCTCCTTGTTCTAATAGCGAAGCCGCAAGCACGTCTGCTCCTGTGAGCCGAGATATCGCCCAAATATACTGTACATGCAATCTGCTTCTTCTCCAAAACATGAGCACACGCGGCACGCGATGGTGTTCCAGTGTTGACGAGAAATCTCTGTGGCCATAACTGGCAATAATTACTAGCAATGGAGGCTGCTAAATTGTTACACTGAAAATATAACGTAATGTTCTATATTCTTTAAATTGTCGCTCGTTTAATTTCATAAAGCTGAGTCCTTATTCAGAAACTAAAATTCGCGAACCATGTAAAAGAATTTACCACGATTTAAAGAATCCAAAGATTCACTACAAATCTCATGGAAGCCAGCCATTAATTCCTGTCCCAAGCTACATTTATCCACTTTACACCTCTACAACGTAATTCTTATTTTCTGTCACACATAACAATTCCTTATGATTTATAAATAATAAGAATATTTCAGTGAAACGTGTTTCGGTCATACTAAACCATTCTCAGGCTCTTTTAATTAGAGATTCAATGTCTATAAGAGCCTGAGGAATGTGATTGATCAGCTTCTAATGTTGCCTCTAGAACCGTCCATTATTACTAATAAAATATATGGTTTTTACAAGTCATTAAATGGAAATGTTTGATAGTACCTTAAATACGTTAAGACTGTTTCCTTTCATATCCTGCTAAAATAATCACCCACACAATTACGATACAATTTGTTGCTAACAAGGTAAGCAGTTAAAATGCATCGCTAAATAATCGAAGGTAAGATATTGTTAATTTTCAACTATTCAAATATATTATGTTAAATTAAAGATGAGTTTCTCATTGGACAGCGCCCATGAAGCACAGTCCTCATTCAGACGATACTAATTGTTCAGTTAGTCAACAAACTCCTCGCATTTTGTGTAACACGAAGGATAATGCTGTGTTTACAACAACTAAACGCTGATTCAGATTCTCAGCCAGATAATTAATCCTCATCCTGATAATACCTCTTAAAATTTGTCTTGATATCCTTTCATGTACGATCTGTGAGCTTACCTGACTATAAATTTGTATGGATCTCTCCTCCCCCTTGAATTGATAACCTAATGGTATTTGGAAAATCGTACAAATTTTGAAGCTGTTACATCCCCCCTTTTAGGTTAAAATATTCTCTTCAGCACCCTGTTCTCAAACACCCAAAATCTATATTCTGTCAGGATGGCAGACCAAATTTCACACTAATATAAAACAAAACGTTAAGTTAGATTTACGATGGACATATTTCACGTTAGTACATACCCTGCCAGAACACTATATTAAACCTGAGCTGAGTGATATTACATAATAAATGGCACAATTCACTGCATGGTTATTGTATTTCAAAAAATCCAGAATTTTATCATTCATCCTTAATATCTATTGTTTCCAGCGTACTGTAGCTCTACGTTTTTCGTGTTGGAAGTTTCCTTGTACCACAAGCAAATAACAGTGATATTGAAGTACTGGGAACCATTGTGTACACACAGTCGATCAAAATCTGCCATGTTGATAAAACAAATAAAATACAATCCGCGTCATTCGTAGAACTTTTCACTAAGGAAAAAAATAACATATTCCTCGCCCAAACAAACAAACGTACTTCTGACTTTACATAGAAAAATATTACATGTGTCAACGGAAAGAGAAAATTGCTAGAAATTGAAAGTTTCTCTTTTCTTCAGGGGGGCGAAATAAAACCGAGGACATAAAAATGAGAAATGACAGAGAAAAACGAATTACAAATATACATTTCAAGTCGAGGCTTATAATATAAATAGATTATAAGCTGCTGAGGAGAACGTTTATACCCAAGATTTCAAATACAAAACACTTCTGAGCGTCGGACAAAAATGTACAGAGATTATTCACACACACACACACACACACACAGCCGCGTACGGCTTCTTACAAAATCCGAATAAATTATTCACAGTGTCATATGGATTTTGATGTTAGGGGGCTCCTGGCTTTAACAAGCATCTTCAGAGTTTCGTAAACAGCTCTGTCTCCTTCAGGTTAGAAGAAAAGAGTTCCTACGGCGCATTGACTCCTTTGTGGGCAATTTCAATTCATTCACATACCAGAAATCTTTCATCCCGACATAGATTTTAATACGTACTCTCTTCCCACTTATACAGTTGTATTAAAATGCCGGACGGAAATAAAACTCATTTTTGAGTAAATTTCTACACATTGCGCGAATTACTAGGTCTTGTGGCCAAGTGTTTGTAACCCCTGCTTCGTATTAGTGAAACCCCAACTTAAAAACTCGGTCGTGGCTATCCTGAGTTTAATCGTATTTTTCGTCAGCACATCCAGGCACGTATCGGAATAGTAGCTTAAATTTGGCGACAATAACTTACGTTCAGATGTTTTCATAATTCAGTGTTCACTAATCATCCTATCTTTCGAAGATATGCAGTTCTAATCTTAGCAGCTGAAAGCGTCCTAAAATACAGCATAAAAAATAAATTCACCATACGCGTTACACTGTCATGTAGCCGTTATCAACATGTTTAAACTTCACATAAATCCAAAGAGACATAAATTCTATTTGTTTTTTTTATATTGTTTTGTTCACGTAAACATGTATCTATCTGGCAACACATAACTTTTGTATAAAACCATTAAACAAAGGAAACTCGAGGTTTAAAAATCTCAAGGCGGCGAGTATGAAGATGGCTGCATTCTGGGTTGTCGCGCCAAATAGTATGTTAGAAGGTTACCGACGTTTCAGAGGTGGTTGGTACCTTCTACCACACGGCGCAACAATCCAGAAGACAGCCATCTTAATGTGTTGTTGGTATGTTGTATCTTCACAAAAGATCTCGTTACGTTTGTTAGTTATAGTTACTAAAAGGCAGTTATCTTAAAACTTTGCATACTGTGTAGTCTATTAGAATATAAAATATGCGAACAACTATTAACACTATAAAAAGACACTAGTGCCAAACGCGTTTCAACCTCAAGAGGTCATCATCAGTGGCACTAGTGTATTTTTATAGTGTTAATAGTTTGTTTGTTCGCTTATTTTATAAAGGGCAGTTAGTTCATAAAAATGTCTGAAAAGGTACTTATACAACATGTCACGAAGGATAAGGAGCGCGAATGCTACACATCATTTAGGCAATATCACTAAGAAGAGGAAAATCTTGTTCTCCCATTATTTTTTTCGTGGTAAAAAGAGGACACACGATTTGGTATGATGAGACCCTAACCCCAATAGAAACATGCAACAGTTGATGTGCCACACAGGGCAGGTAGCTGTCAGTTGACCAATTAATTGAGCCTCGTCGAGTTAATTTTGTTAATAGGCAGGTTATTTGAACGAATTTATAAATTTTTATAAATTTAGTCATACTTGCTAAGAAGGCCAACATCATAGATTCTGCAGTTAGAGATACGTACATAAGCAGCACCGGGAACTAAAGCAGTGCAGTTCTTATGAAATTTTTAAAACGTGTTTTGCAGTTAAAGATATCAGAAAGTACATCCAAAATAATAACAGGCCACAAGAGGGAGTATTCGTCAGGAAGAAGTATAAACTATACACATTTCCAATGTTAAGACAGCCAGAATTTTTACTTAACTGTAAAATTTGAAAATATTTCGTAAAATAACACGTGCTGCTTCCAATTAATGAAGTCAGAACTTAGGGCCAGTCTCATAATTGGTACCCATAACATAAACACGTTAAAACAAAAGCTAGAATATTCCTACAAGTTTACACGGCGCCACAACCAAGAACAAAATATACATTTTAACGACTGCAAGAATCTCAAATTTCAAGCCTTCGAAGCATTCATTGTTACCAAGAGGCCAAATTTCCATTTCTAATTACAGGCTACTCTGTAAGGATGGAATACATTCCTCTACGATTTGCGTTTAAAATACCAACAACTTAAAAGATAACATTGTAAATGTCAGAGTTCATTAATAGAGATATTTTCCGTTTGTTGTATTCTACATAGTTACAAGGTTTTTTTGCCTAATTTTTTGTATCGCCCCCTAACTTCTATCTCCCCTTGTTTCTTCTTCCTTATTATATTTTAAGCCTATTTCCCAGTTATTTTTTGTAAATCGACATGAGTACTTCCCACCCCTACACCAACTCGTCTCTCTCTTTTTCCATCATCTTTACCGGTTAAAAAGTTTAACAACTTTTGTATCCTATAACTCTTGTATAATATTATAATGACGAAATTCTTATATAAGTTAGCTTAGTAATATACACAAGACATCAAATGAAAGAGATGGAGTAAAAAGGAAAACAAAAGCAAGCTTTTCGGGGCTCTATCATCCCGTAACTTCTTCTACCATTCTTCCCTTTTCTTTACGCAGCTCGTTTTAAATAATGATGGACAAAATTCTTCAGCAGATTGTTTGGAAACTTACAAGTGATGATGGAGAAAACTTTCTTTTCCTTACCGATATTATAAAAGGACGAAAGAGAAAAATATGTCCGACAGCACAAGAGAAACAAAAGAGTGCTACAATCGGCTGTTAACTACCAGATGTAAAGACTTACTGCATTGATCCAACTTTAGTCAACTGGCAAAATGCCTGTTGTGTAGTATCAAACATTAACAAGGAGGAAAATACAATAAATATAACGAGAAAAATGAGAGAGAAGAGGGCGGGGGGATCTTCGGGGAAAAAATCTCATCTTCGTCTACTTACAAAGGCAGTCTTTACGCGTAGTATGAAAAAAAATACCATACATATCAAAGACAAAGTTGCTTGTTTCTTTACTTCTACATACAAAATTAACTGAAACTTGTTCTTACCTTCAGCTCTGCGGGTCGTCACTGATGTGTCGGGAGGAGGTTTTGTTGAAAACTGATGAATTCCTTTCTGCTTGAGGTACTGTTGAAAGAGAGAAATACAAGATTAGTACTGAATGCAGCAAACTTCCAGCGCAACGAAAAGTACGACTGATTCACAGCACAAAGAATACAAATCGATCGGATCCATTATCAATATCACTGTTATGTCAGAAAACGTTATTATTGAACTAGAGAACAAAGCAATCACATTACAAATTATTAACTTTTATACGTCTAATATTCACTATAGCTATATAATTACAATTACAACGTTCATAATATTTCTAAAACCATGAATATCGTTTACAACACGTGGTAGAAAGAACGTATATTTCTATTCAATGATATAGAATGTGGAATGGAGTTATAAAATAACCAGTCATACTAAAGTAGCATTATAAAACCCAGAACTGCGCCACTGCTGACGCAAAATTTACAACAAGATTCAGCTTCAACTACCTCAATACATCCCAGCAAAATCGGTATTTCTTTAAGACGCATAGTAATGTAATGTCTCACGACAAAGTCTTACACGAAAGGTAAAATTAAAAAAAATAAGCAAAACAAATTTAGTTGTGTGTTCCATTGTTTACTGATATTTTGTATAGCAGAATAATGTAACTTAACGTATCTTAGATTTCACTCGCAGTGTCAAGAACAGATTCGAATATTAATTCATTTCATATAAGAAGTCGGTTATACCATGTACATAAATTTGTATAGTAATAAAACTCAATATAATTTATGTTAATAAAACAGTTTAAACACATTTATTATGATATTACATTTTTCTGTGTTTAATTTAAAGTTATAGAGTCGAGCAATCAGTCAGTGGAATACGTTTAAAAATATTCAAAATATGTCCGAAAGTGCCACGAAAATTTAAACAAGTACATTAAGCCACAACACTTACCAAGCAACTTATATACTTGGGAAGTATGAATACACATGATAGGCCATCGAACTTTAAATTAATGTTCGCTTTTGCGAGTACCAATGAAACATTGGAACGACCATCACGTGTTGTGCAAGCAATTAAACTTCACGTTTTCTTAATTTTATTTTAGTCACATTTATGAATTTATCTGCAATGATACAATTCATTTCTAGAAAATTATTAAAACAGAAACAAAATATTTCAAAATAATGTAAGATTTTGGATAACAAGAAACGAAGTTATTAAACTTCGGTTTTAAGGTCAAATGGTTTAGCACCGAAACTCATAAATATATTAATGATACCTCAGAAATGAGTGGAATTCTATTATGGGAGCAGTTTTATACGCGTCTCCATTTGACCTGTGCTAGAAGGACAGGCGAATTTTACATTATTCGACGACTCTATAACAACGTAAGCAATTATTCAGCGTCAAGTAATGTGCAAGGGGGAACGCGTTTAGTGACCTTCGAAGAGTTGAGGAGAAAACGGGCGTAGTGCATTTCAATGCACAATCCCAACAGTAACCTGGGGAGTATAAGAAAAACAGCATAAATCTGTCAAGATACAAACTGGGCAACTACAGTCAAAAGACCAAGCGTTTAAGCCAAGCTGCCCGGTTTGACTATTACTGCCGTGAATCTTGTAGGCAAGATCCTGCCGAGCTATTTACTGGCTCGTGGTCCAAGCAGCTAATAAAGGTGTAACAGCAACACCTGCGACTCTCGACAAGCGGTGGATACACGGACCAGAGTACAGACAGCTGATCGAGATACAGGACGGCATCCCTCCTCACTTAAAACCGGCTTTAAGCGGGTTTACTGCAACCGAAATGAACGCCAGTGTAGGCCACGTGGTCTGAAATCGTGATGACTCAACAAGGGGAAACAGAAAGGGCATCATCTCTTGCTTATCCAGATCACGGAGCTCGATAAGAAGAGTCAAGGGAAAGAAGGCAATGTTGGAGGAATGGATGGGCTTTGACTTTCGCTACAGCCATCAAAAGAGCTTTTGGTTCTGTTGCAACCAAAACAAGAAACGAAATAAGGCGAGAATAGTAAGAAAGAAGTAAAGAGAATAGAACTAATAACCTTGTGTACACTTGGAGCATTCAGACGAGTTCGAAATTCAGCTGTATATAGTCAAATGGAAGTTCGAATGAAGACACTGTGATGCAACTGCAAGGACAGTGAAATGGAATGACGATGATAATGATGACGGTGAAAGGTCGTATGAGATTTGAGGTGGAGTTGTAGGCAGATGTCGGTTGATATGTCGTACTTCAACATCCGTTTAATGCTCTGTTTTTAAACGTATTAATGGTGATTTATTGCGGGCACAAATACCAAACATTAATCTCACTGCACATAACAACAGATAAAAATTGTTCCTCTTAATTGTTAAAAATATAACAGTTAAAATCGCTTTAAGTAAGCTTTAGACCTTAACGAACCTATATGTTATGTTAGATAAGTCAGTCTTGCGAAAATTTTGTAAGTACAGATGTTAGTTGTGGCAAATTAGGGTTGAATTAACTCATACAAATCATCAAATACATATGTTTACAATCTGTATTTAAATAAAACATTCATGTTCATCGGCGATTCCCGGCATTATCAGTATACACACGCATAACGACAAAGTAACATTATGTTAAACTTATATCTTAGAATAATCTACTTGCACTAATTCATTCATTTGTTAATTAAGTGCATAGTTATGACTTTCGATTCTTTTGTACTCTGGATTAGAATACTAAGTTTTGATGTCTTCGTCATTCTAGTTTTTATTCAGCTGTCCACATTTTAAACATATTAGTACAGATGGAGTTTTGATTACAACGCTTCTATCTTGTGTGTATTGTTTCAACAGCTCGGATTACATCTTCCAATGACAGGTAAATAGGGAATGATAAGTTCAAACTATGTGTGAAAGTAAGTGATCGTGGTTTAATACAATATACTATCCTAACGTTTAACTGGAGGGACTGAGGAAACCCAGAAAAACCCTTGCGAAGACAGCTATCTCCGAGCAGATACTTGAACCGAAGACATCCCAAATTCCAGTGTTAATTCTTTTAATTTGAAAAGTATTTTAAGTAGTTCAACAGGTATTGTATTTATTATTCCCCAAACTTTCTGTTTCATTCTGCCCATAACCTGTATTTAATGCAGTATGGATGTATTCTCACGTACATCGTAGCGGCTATGTAGATAATGTTTTACATATATAATGAATCTGTATTGGATTTACGTTACCCATATGTTATTTACATATATAATGAGTCTGTATTGGATTTACGTTACCCATATGACGGTACGAGAAGGATTTCGGTGTATTTCTTCCACAGACTAGTCGTCACTGTTTCCAGACTATCTTCGTGTTGAATTATGAGTCACTGCACTCTGTGATACCTACTGCAAGGCTCTTTTTGGCGCACTGACTGCGTTCTGGCGGGATTAGCATTTACAGCGCTACTCACCTAACAGTGTCGCCAACACAACAAATTAGTTAGAAATTTTATTGTCCACATAATGTTGGTTCAATAAATTCCGCTCCATTGTTACTGATTTCTATACTAAAGATAGAGTATAGAAATATTATTACAACGTGTCTTTATGCAATATCTCTTTACATTCCTCTTTTCCTTTAAACCAAAGTTATCAGAATGCAGAACAGATATGCAGGTTAAAATATGTCCTACGCATAACTGCGTCACTGTGGCACCATAATTGATTTATTTTATCAATCCCTATGTTTAAGTAAGAAAATTGTTTAGGATACTAATATTAAAACACAAACGACTTCTATGGCAACAAGCCATCACAAGATAGAGGTAGTTTTAAACAGTGACAGACTTCCTGCACTTTTTGTACATCGTTTAAAGAGTCGTAAATTTTGTAAATTACAATTTAATTGATACTGGTCAAAAGTAAACTCACAAATTTGTTGAACTTAAAATAACAGATTAGTTAGGAGACGAATTTAATGTTACGATTAATGTAGAATAAAACACCGCCCTTAGGCGTATGACTGTCAAGAAAGTTGTAAAGTAAAAGTTTAATTTACCATTTAAAATTTTTTATATCCGTTCTTAAAACTAATAACAATTATAAAACAAAGAGAAACTTGGACATTAATAGATACTTTATAAATCATCAGATATATTAGTGTGATAGACTTAAGTACATAAGTTATAAATTATCTGAAAGAATAAAATGTAATGAGAACAGCTGATCACAAATGGAGTCTGGATGACCAACTGCAGATTAATTAAATATATAATGAATTACTATGACATTCGGAAACAGCAATAAAGTTAACTGAGTCGTACAAATGTGTCTGATGTTTACTGCGACTGTGCCTAAGACTCGTAAATTGAAGGCCTGTAGATGGCATAAAGTCAAACCTCCCAATGACCTAATGCTCTGCACTATATACAGGTTCACGTTTCAGCCACCTTGCACCCCCCCCAAAGAAATATTCTGTTTTGATGGGTATCTGAACACTTTCTGCGTGTTAAAGACAAAATTTCCCGAAACTCCTGCCCAGAATCGAATTACGGTCTTGAAGGCTGTATTAAATTGAAGCACTTATGCTCTTAACAGGGTACATATATGCTAATAAATTGTTTTTTTCTTAACCAGAAGTCTGGTCGTGCCATCTCTCAGGCTGCTAGACGCTGCGTCCCACCATGAAGATCCGGGTTCATTCCCAGACAACGGAACAGAAACACTTCTTGGAATTCTTGGTTTTACCTCTGCTAATCGTCATTCCACCATTGCTCATATTCATTTATCATCAGCCCACGAACGTGTGCGATCACTCTGGCAAAACAACACATTATAATATCATCAGTTTAGGATTTCATCTGAAGCCAAGGACACGGTTGGTGTAGGAGTCAGGAATAAGCTGGTGATAGCATGTTACTCCGAAATAATGATATATACCTACAATGACAACACGGAGTTACCATCCAGAAGACCAACATGGACACCACGGCAATGAAAACTTAAAATTTAACGTAATTTAGTGATTATAAAGATAGTTGTGTTCTGGATTCTTGCCCTGTGTAGTCTGATACAATTTTTCCGAACTTTCAATGGTACTTGCTGCTACCATCATCAGGAAAATAAGT